AGGCAGAGCTGGGAGATACAAGTGGCATAGATTTGCGTAAATGCCTTCATCTAGTACATCAGAGACCTTATTCTATCAATCAAAACGAACACAGCACAGACAGGCAATGGTTGCCTTGAACAAAAAACAGGAACAGGGCAAAGTACTGTGCATCCTGCACAACAAAGCCGCGTGGCTCAGCTTACTGCCAGCGTGGAGTCTGCAAATGCGAGCAGAAAAATGGAGAAAACTCATGCTTGGACCACGAGAGCTTCCTGCTTCGAGAACAGCCTTAGAAATGTACCTCAGTCGCAGCAGAAAGAGGCTTCCTTTGCAGGACGTTGGCATTATCCCATGAAAAGCAGCAAACAGAGAAGGTAGTGTGGCTCCGTCCTGAGACCGCAACAGTCAGTCTGTGTTTAAGGGTCTATCATGAGATCTAGTCCTAAGATTTTTTCAAAACATCACTCATGCTTGCATGGTCTGACATTTCTGGTTTCTACTCCCTGTCATTTCTGTTTCAACAATCTACCTGTGATGATGAAAATGAACAATAAAAAACACAAGAGGTGGCTAGACTTTAAGGTCTCCCTTTGAACTTGAACGTCTTTACAACTGGTCTCTTGTTCTCTCCTTGCCATTCAAAATTTCACAAAAAAATGATGTTTGTAGTGCAGAAATATCGCAAATCTCACATTGTAATTAGTATTGCATGTTTTTTCTTTTTCTTTTCCTTTCATTTTTCAAAATAAAAGCTTAGATTAGCCATTCTTACGTTATAATACTGAAATAAATATGCAGGTAGTTGCTGCTGCAATGTCACGCAAACAAATCCAAAAACATTAAAAGGGCAGATTTTCAGCCTGCTTTACAACGCAACAAAACATGCCGGATGGATTAGCCTATTTCAACCTTTTTGCAGGCTCTTACTTTTGTTGATTTATTCTCGACACACAGAGTAACCCCTTTTAAATGTGTTGCAGACCTTGTAAATTCTTTGCTCATCCCCGTGGAACTTAGCAAGGATTGCAAACGCTGTCAACGGACCTTCGCAGCCTACAGGTACAGCATAAACTCATAAAGGTCTCAGACATTCCCTGTGGTCCGTTAAGGACCATGCTTATTGTTCAGGCTTGCAACTACTGTCTACAGAGTTCAGAGGTTCCCAGGTACAGTCCTCACGCCACCTCTCCCAGGATTTTATCCTTCTCTGTTTCCTACACAAAAAGCAGTCTCTAACGCTCTTTAGAGACATCTTCCTCCCTAGCCAAAATGCACGTGGCATACTCTCTGCACTCTGGGAAAGTGCAAACTCAAAGCATTATTCGTTTTCCCAAAAACCTTTCCTCAGATTTCAAGCATTTGTAGATTGTTTTAAAAAGTCTCCTTTCCCTTCAGTCATCCATCCATCCATCCCTTCTTTTAGCACAGACAGGGATTTTGTTTACATGTATTTTAATAACAGCAATCATTCAACAGCAGTAACTGTACCTCTCCTGAAAGCAATCTTCTAGAAATGAAAGTTAAACAGTGCAATCTTACTTGGAAAAAAGGACAATCCACCTACATTGCTCTAAAAAACCAAAACCAAACCAAACCCCCCTATCATCAGCTCTTTCCAATAAGATTTAAAACCCTACCTTTCTCATTTGCTAGTTTTCATGTTTAAATTTGTTCAAAGAAATCAGAAGAAGAATCCTACCTTTCCACTTTTCAGAAACACTTGGAACAGCTCTCTATATACTCCCACTTCTTCTTAAGAGCTAATAAACTGGATTAATTTTTCGAGGTCTCTAAGTAGAAGAAAAGCTGAATAGAGACTTTAAAAAAACCCCTCTGAACCTCACATAAAGCTTGTATTTCACAAGCTGACTTGCAGCAGCAATGTGCCACAAATACAACTCCAAAAAATTTTTTTTCAAACCTTATCTGGGAAGGTTTTGCAAAATAGGCATCAAACAATAATTCTCTTTACACCACTACAATTACACTTACAGATGGGAAAGAGCGGGATAGAATTTCCTTAGTGTAAATGCTGAACTGTAGTCTGCCAAACACAACTAAGACTGAGCTGGATGTTTTAGAAGTCTAGTGTTCCAAAGCTTTGGTTTTGTTGTCTGCTACAGGGTGAAATGACAAAATAAATGTCTTTTTATGGACCACACAACACACAGATTGTATCTGCACAGTCCAAACTGGGCAAGGCACAGCAGTATAATGCATTCAACCCCAAAGCTAGGGTTTTAGCTTATTTCTCTAAGATCTGTAATCTGAAATTGCCAGGATGGCCAAATGCCCTTGCTCTTCCTCATGCTATCTGTTTTTGCAACAAATCACAAATATCTTAAAGCTTTTCTATTTATATGGGTTTAGCCTTAATTATCAGACCTCATTTTCTCTGTGTCCATCTGAGAAATCAAGGAGATTTTTGTAAGCTGCTGCAGTAGGCTGAACACCAGCGCTAGTAGCATATCCAAAAGGCGAGCAAAGTGAAATTTGTTTTACAGGCTTTTTTTCTCCCTTCTTCAATATTTTGGCCCGATACAGATGCGTCCTGCCAAAATCTCTCCCCACTGTGCTATCATTCCATGAGCTATTTCACACCTCCCATTCAATTCTAACATGGAGCCAAACCCATCCAGACACCGCTGGTATCCAATGCGTGACAGAATGGAATCTTTCCCTGGACATTAGGAGAGGCCATGGGATGTCAGGGGTGAAGTATCTCCACAGTAGAAATGATGCTCAGCTGTGCAGCTCCTGCCATGCCTTTCCGTTCATTGAATCCAGATGCCACAAGTTTCTCAGCTTTGTAAGTATCTGAGAGACAGGGACAGAGACTAACACGCGAGAGGTGAATCACAGACTTGGGGTGGGGAGCAATTCTAGCTAGTCAGAAAGATTACTTTAAAAAAAAAAAAGAAAAAGAAAAAAGGAAAAGGTGACTGGTTCTATGCTCATCCTTTGAAGTGATGAGGCCAACTCCCAGTGCTTTCATTTTAGTTTAGTAACACTGAAAAAGCAGGTAACAGAACTTCTCAGCAGTTGGGCACGGTTCACAGCCTCCGATCTATCGGACAGCAGCTCAGTTAAGCCCTGCTGTAGCATCTTCCTTAGCTAAGGCACGGAATTCACCACATTGTCCCCACACAAACTGAATCTCTGCACTGTATTCTCAGAAACATCCCTGCAAAGCATCTGAGCGTCTGACAGAAGCGTCAGACGAGCTGCTGGACAGCTGGGCTCACGTCCATCAGTGCACCATACATGCCTTGCACGCGATGCACTGGCCATTGGCTACTCCTGGGGCTTGCTCCTGCATGAACGTATTCTACAGGGTTTAAGGACACGATTATACCTGAAGGTGTCCTGTTAATCTTTAGAGATGTCAGTAAGGTAGGTAGAAAGATCAGAAGTGGTATGCTTCAGGGTTAGAGAAAAAAACATTCTATAAAATATTCGCATTTCTATGGGCCCACCTGCACTAGTCAGGAAAGAATACAAGGTTCATCTCTGCATTAAGCACTGCGAATGCAGTCCCAAACGTGAGGACTCAAAATGTACAGAAATTCCCGTTTCCTTAACTCCCCTGAAAAATCCCACTCTCGGCCACTGTACTGCACTTGGCTGGGACAAAGATATGTGTCCACCAGTAAATTTTGCAGTGCTGCTTGTTAGCTTGGATTGCTTGTCTGAAAAGCGATTATTGTATGACACTGGCTAGAGCCGAGTTAAACAGTACTAGCAAAATGCCCCAAAACCAGGCAATTTTGAGAGAGTGTTCACTTTCAGCCTCTCTTCCCTCTCCCAAGAGCACTATTTATATATACATGTCTACACACATTGTGCATGTGTGTACTTGCACCGTAAGAGCTGACAAGAGGGGCATTACTCCGTGTGTTTCTATCACACTAACTACGCTGCTGTAGCTCAGCTTGTGCCAAGCTCCCCCTTCAAAACGGAGCGGGATCCTTTGCTCCCCAGCTCTCTCTGAACACACTACACCGGCGCGCACACGGAGCTGGGGCAGACGAGCAAGTACACTGCGAATTCACAACCTGTCTCTGTGTGTACTAATGTCACTACGCTGGTACAATCCGGCAGCAAATACTTCCCTACCCCACACAATTCAAATGCAGGCAACACGGGTGTGCCTATTCCATACGCTTCCTTTTAGCACCTGAGAAACGTCAGCAGAATCACATAAAGGGCTTTAAAAATGGAGACAGACACCACAGTGATTCCCATTAATGTTCAGCATAAATGGATAAGATGGACACTCAAGAAGCGCCAAGATGAATCATGAAAAGAACTGCTATGTTAAGACCACTCTCAAGTGAATTTGTCAACACAATATGTCTCCTACAAACAACAATTTCATTCAACATATTAAAATATGATAACCTATCATGTGGCATTTTACAAAGTCACTATCCACGTATTAGCAGACAGGGAATCTGTGGTACAAAGCGGCAGATTTATCTGCCCAAAGCATTTTGATACCACAGTAGCAGAGGCAGTGAAAGAATTTCATACCAGATGTCTGGAGACATAACTGGGAACAGATCAAGAATCCCCATCTCCTGGCTGCCAGCAGCACGCCTCGATCAACAAAAATACTGGCCGGCATTCTCCCTCACGTACTTCCTCTGTTTACGTATCTGGTGCGTCCGTGTGTCAATGTACACTCCCCCCACAACTGACAGACGTACGTACGCCCAGCCTAAGCATACGCGCTTGTGTCTCTAGGCTAATCGCTGTGCAGCTCTGCACAAACTGTAGCGAGGATTATTTGCTTAACAGACTCCTTTTTCTCCCCTCGATGCTTCTTTTCTTTTCTTAAAATTAGCTGGTCACAGTACCACAGACAGCATCCTTTTGAGGACTGAGCTACTGAAGAAGTGGAAAAAGCCACACATGCTGCAGAAAAGTGTCACATCAACATATTACGAGGCTGTGTTGCCAAACATAATGCAATGCAGTCTGCAAAACGAGGTGGGGGGAGAAAACACGGCATTTACCTGACAAGAGATCTGTACAAGGTAGACCAGTTCCTTGGATTCACAGCCGTTTCTCGTTACTTCATTCTGTTCCTCCGGGAGCGAAAGCTACACCAAGGGAGGGGGTGGAGAAAAGAGGGAGAGAGAAAGACCAGGTCAGTGAGCAGGGATAAGCCAGGCATGTAATAATGCACGAAGCACAACATTCACATCAACTTGCTCCAAGACATGCTGAGTATCAGGGAATCAGGGAAGCACTTGTCTGTCTGGAGTTGTCAGATAGAAAATACTCAGCATTCATGGCTTACACACAGCCTCGAATGCCATTGGATTTTGGCATCTCACCTGACAGTTTAAAAATAAAAATATGGTTCAAAAATAAAACAATCTTAGGAAGGCAAGGGGATTAAACCTCTAGCTTAGAATGCTGCAAAATTAATTGTTCACTGAAAATATCTCTCTAAATATTCATGTATCAGAGAACAGTGATTCCTCTCCCCCCCTGCAATTTTATTCATTTTTTATTTTATATGTTCAGGCAGACATTAGATAATAAAACATACCTCCTAATTTCAGTGTTGTCAAGCAATTTACCACAACAGAGAGCTTTATGGCACCATTCATCACATACAGAGTCATTAAATACAACATCAGGATGTGCTTTTTTTCAGAGCAGCGAGGAGAGGTTTAACCATGTCATTCCTGTCCAGGTACCCAGCGCCTTGGCTAGTCCTACTGCTAGTCCTGCCACTCCCACGAGTCCTGATACCCTACACTTAAAATGGCTTACTTTTAGTGATCTTCTCTGAAAACAGAAATTACAAAGTGATCGTAAGCAAGTTAAGACTGTTTGCAAAGCAAATAAAAACAGGAAATATCTTGCAAAAAAGTTGTTTTATAAAAGAAAGAGAGATCCTTATCCAGTGCAGAGGCCCAGGAATAGAAAACCATGAAATACTGCCTTAAACACAGAACAGGACGAGGTATCTCAACCTCTCTGCACACGCACAGCCATCATTGCTACCTTTACTCCTCGTATGATGGACATGAAATTGTGCCGTGAAAGCACTGCTGTACTTGCCAGAAGAGTTATTCGCTTTCTTTCTTAAGCAGAAATGATGCCAGCTTAAAAATAGAAGCACTGAAGAAGAGTCCAGGACTTTTTACACAAAGGTCTTTTGGAACAACACTTTCTTTCTTGGAAAATGTGTGCATAAAAATGTAAGTCTGTTAAAAAAACGTAATTAGCTAAGACCCCAAAAAACCCAACAACAAATGAAAGCAGAAATGAACACAAGTCTGAGGAGAAAAATAACAAATTGCCATATTTTAATGAATGTAAGCAAGAGAAAATCAGAACCAGGTGATTAGAGGCACGTACCTCCTGAGAAGGAGGGAGATGTAAGGCAAAGTTCTCTTACATATAAATGACCACCGATACCCAGAGTGAATTTAACCTTGCATTTTGCCAGTATCTCTCTCCTCTTTGGAAGGACGCTGCATAGCACACAAATTCAGCACTCTTCCCTCACCAGGCCTAACTTCCTGAATACCACTTCTTTCCTGATGGTTGTATACATGATTGCAGATAATTAAAAAGATTGTTGGACCAAAGAAAGTCTTTGGATTGCCATAATTTATTATATTTTTACAACATTAAATGTATCTAGAAGAAGAGAGAGCATGTGTGCAAATGCTCGCCACTCCCTCGTGCTGGTTATGCAAATAAAACTTTCTCCTGCTTTGTGGCAGTCCTTTTTGGCAAGAAAAGGCCAATTTTCCTTCAAAGGATTTGTATCAGAAATCAAGTTTGCACCTTCGGTCTTCACTGTTGCCTAACCGTGTAGAGCCGCTGAAAAAAAATGGTATCTAACTGGGGACATCTAAGAGCCTTTTGCTGAGGCTGCTCTTTACATTAAACTACAAGGACATATAAAGTCTCAAAACACTGTGCAAGCTCTTGAGGATGAAATCCACCCAGTGCCACCTCCATTTGGATACTATCTTTACTCCCTCATAAATCACCTCTCCAGAAAACCCATGAAACGTCTCCCTCGGCCGCTGTTGCAGCTTCTCCTGCACCGCTTTCTCAGCACACTCTCTTTTTCGCCTTTCAGACAGCCTCTCGTTCCACCTATAAATTCTCCCTTCAAAGCGAGCTTTCTCCTATAAAGCTTTCTAGTGAGAACCTTAAAGGTTTTTACGCATGCTCACATCCTCATAAGGCTGGTGTGCAATACAGTCCCAGAGATAAATCTTTCTAAGTGCTGTGGAGGACCTTTCACATGGTGAGCTGAATTCCACTAAAAAAATGGCATTGCAGAAAAAGGCAATTTTAAAGATTTTTAAGAATGACTTTTCTGTGTGATTAACAGGGTGTAGCCTGCTGCCATTAATGTGATTAAATACCACCATTATTTATTTCTGTATTGCACGTCCTTCACCCCCCCACTTTATCATCATTCTTTGCTATCAAATTTCACTTTTAAAGTGCTACTAAGTTTTGAAAATAACAGTCAAAGAAAAACAAAATAACAAAGCATGCAGTAAAGGAAAGCTAATACATAGCTGGAGATACTTTCCACATTTGTCAGGTAACAAGGAACTCCAGTTCAATTAAACGTGGGTTTCCTACTCAGGGAGGAAAGTTTCCATCCTTTAATCTTCCCTATGCTTATTTAGGGTACATACACCTACTCTATCAACCCACAACGACATTTCAGGCCTTGCCTTGCCTCCCTGAAGTATATCGGTGCTAAAGGACATCAGTGCAGGCTCCACTTCACTCCGTTTACCTGAAAAGCCAGCAGCCAGGCAATGAAAATGCCAACATACAAATGCAGCAGCTCCCAAAACATATTCAAGGCCTGATTCTGTGCAACACAACGTGAGGCAGAAAAAGGTACGGGTCAAGTTAAGACAAAGGGTGAATTGCATCACCTTTCCTCTTCCAGATACTGTAATTTACACCGGTTTGGACTTAAGTCAAGCGAAGTCTGCACACAAACTCTCCAGGAATAGCAAGTGAATCACCCGTAGGCGTGAGGTCCATGTGTGTAGACGACTAAGTTACAGCGAACTTTTCATTTGAAAGAGCATACCTACCAGAGGATTAACCTACTGATTTATATTCATCAACTTTATACCCACATAGCTAGTTTCCACATCAATGCTCCTGATTGTCCCCATTTAGACAAACTCACTGTAGTGAGAAGTGACATTTTAAATCCATTGTATTGCCCTACATGCTCGTGCCTACCGAGAGGCAGAGAGAGCAGAATCGTATGCACAGGGAAATCTACTGGTTTTATCCTGTAACGTAATCGTCCTCGCAGCAAAATACCCTGGAAGATGAATATTCGCTTACGCTGCCTGTTCCCCATGCAGCAAAATTTTTGTTTTGCTCTGTTAATGCATTAAATGCTCTTCCAAAAATCGTGGATGTCATGATGTTTAAAAGCCTTTCCTCCTGCAGCATCCCTTATAAACAAAACATCCTAGAAAGTACAGGTGCACCTGGGCCCAATTTGAAATCCAGGGAGCACAAAGCAAAGGCCTCTCTTGACCTTAGTGGACTCTGAACGTGACTCACAGGCAGAATTTGTTTGACTCCAAATTGGGAAATTGATTTTCATCTTAAAGGACAGACCAAAGACAGCAGGGTCTCAAGGATACCCCTGTAAGACTGTCAGTGTGTATCATCTGCGAGAGCTGAAATGATCTGTAAATAGCATTTATGGTAACTGATCAAAGTGTTGAACAGCATACTTTACATAGATGGCTTGATATATAATCTGAAATGTTCATTTTTCACATTCAAAATGGCTGTCAAACTTCCTGAACCTGATAAACAATTATGATGCATTAGGTTCTGTTAGGTTCATTTATTATTGGGATACGTATGCTTAGCTAGCAGAAGTAGATATGACTGACTTCATAAATTAGGTTTATGGTACCCTACTCTTTTCAGTGGCAACGTTTCATGACACACAAAGAAAGCCTTAAAGACTTGGTCCTATGAACACCTCACACTTAAACAGGTGTATGGATAACGCAGACTGCTGTAAACCTTATGTCAAGGTATCATTCAAAATTGTCTTTATGCAGCTAGAGACAAGTTTGTGAGTCTCCGCTCTGCCTTTCCGCACACACCCACAAAGGACTGAGGAGCATTAGATCCTGGAGCAGGCGGGCAATTCTGCATCTACCTGCAAACCCACACTGTGTCGCTTTGTGCAGCTGACTAGCGAGAGCTGTGGTTCCTAACACAATGACGTGCCAAACGACGGGTCACGATAATAAACCAAATAGCAGCGAAGATTCCCAAGAGCAGGCGGCCAGCTGAAGAAGCAATCAGGATCTTACAGTGTCTAAATCCACTCCAACAGTTTCACCTCGGTAACTTGAAAGACAAAATTAAGCTACACGCCTGGTTCGTATACAATTTTGCCAAAAAGAGCGGGGTTTGCTAGCCGAGATTTTATTGACGGTATATACAGGCAGGACTAGCTTAAAAATGCTTCTAGTTCATGTGGTCTTCCCACTGTCTGAGAAAAAGCAGCTCATCTCTAGTAAGCTAGCAGATAAAGACAGTGATTACAGGAGTCTCCTGCAGAGGACAATTTATTGGTTATTGCTCTTGTACAGACAAACAGCAACAAAGTAAACGGCGGGGTAAGTTTACCTCTGAATGTGCTGAATTCTGTGTGAATTCAGAAGTCTTATTCAAAAGCTCAGTAGTTTTACAGAGCACAATTCTGTGCGTGCGCATTTATCTTCCAGAACAGGGGTTAACGAGAAGAAAAAAAACACTCTCCTCGCTCCTCTCCAAAGTGGCTTTGGAAGCTCCCTTCTGCTCTCCCTCCAAGAATAATCCTCGCATCAAACTCCGGCCGATCTGTGCTCGGAGCAAAGCAGCAGGTGTTTTAAAGACTCATTTGTTTGTCTGGAGCTCCACAATTTCAAGCCTACTGTGAACCTGTCTGCAAGGCGCATGGGACCCGCCACGTTCCCTGCACGGAGATCCCAAAAGCAAGGGCTAGCGACTGCGGAGGGGGCTTTAATTAGAGCAGAGGCAGCTTTTAAGTGGCCCTGCTTCACGAGCGTGT